AGGTATGTGTACTGGTCCACTACTGCAATCTCCTCGATCCCCCACTTCCATCTATGTTCTACTGGTTCCTCCTTGTTCTCGTTGCATACCATGACGGCACTCTTCTTAACGTTGGCAGACAATCTCCACTTATCAGTAAACTTTTTCGCCGCGTCAATTTACAGTTGCAGTCCCTCAGGGATGTCCGACATACCGACAAAATCATCCGCAAACAGCATTCCTGAAACCGACGTTTCCGTGTCCCCTACTTTTACTCCCTTCCGGACTGCCTCTACGACTTCCAACAGATCGTTGATGAACACCTGGAACAATGTTGGGGACAGCGTGCAACCTTGTGGGACCCCCTGCTCAATGTCGAAGAATTTTGACAGTTCTCCGTCTAGCATGACCGCGCTTTTCGTACACTCTGTCATCTTCTTCAGCACTCTCCACATTTTCCCCTTGATCCCGTATTTGGACAGTTGTTTCCACAACCCATTTCTCCATACGGTGTCGTATGTATGCCTTTTTCACGTGCAGGAAGAAGCAGTACGTCGGCTTCCCTCTTTCTACCTTGGATGATTCTCCCTACCGTGAATACGTGGTCTACGCACCCCTTCTTCTTTCGGAAACCTGCCTGGCCCTCACGAATGTTAAGTTCCTTCTCCAATACTCCCAGTATCCTATCGTTCAGCAGCTTACAGGACACTTTTCCTACTGTATTCAACAGTGTGATCCCCCTGTAGTTTCCTGGGTCAGTCTTGTCTCCTTTCTTAAACAAGTTCACAGCCACTTCTTCCCTCCATCTACTCGGCGTACNGAATACGTGGTCTACGCACCCCTTCTTCTTTCGGAAACCTGCCTGGCCCTCACGAATGTTAAGTTCCTTCTCCAATACTCCCAGTATCCTATCGTTCAGCAGCTTACAGAACACTTTTCCTACTATGTTCAACAGTGTGATCCCCCTGTAGTTTCCTGGGTCAGTCTTGTCTCCTTTCTTAAACAAGTTCACAACCACTCCTTCCCTCCATCTACTTGGCGTATACTCGTTTTTCCACACCCAATTGTACAGCAGTACCATCAGCTGGATCATCCCCTTCCCCCCAAACTTCATGAACTCGTTGACTATCCCATCCGCTCCTGCTGCTTTGTGGCACTTCAGCTTGTTCACACACGCCTCAACCTCGTCCTCAGTGAACTGCTTTTCTAGTTCTACGTTCCCAACGTCTGCCTTCGATGTCTCTTCTTCTTTTTGGGCCCATGCGTCCACCTCCTTCTTAAACGCTTGGTCAAAAGCTTCATTCTCCGAGGGCACTCCAAGTCTCTTCTAGTGTCCTGCTAGAACTTCCCTTTTTCCCTCCCCACTGC